TCATGATCATGGGTTCGAATCCCGGTTCGCCCTCATTATGTTTTCAAGTTTATCAGCACCATAACCGTACCCGTGGGTTTCACCAAAGTGATAAACGTTCAAGACCTTCATCACTTCGGGCTTCCTCCCACACCAAGTGAGTGAGTGATTTGGGGTCATGTCGCGCATAACTGTATTCCAGTTTAAGCAAACGTAGAGCAAGAGGCGACTAACGGGATCGGGTGGTCTCCATCCTGAATTAACCAGGGTATCATATTTCCATTCTAGAATGACAAGTATCCTGGACCCATACTCTCCTGTAGCTTCGTTTTCAGTTTGTCATACAGTCCCTGTCCCAGCTGGAGCCACATGGTCGTGGCACAAACACATTGCTATTCATCAAACATCTTATTACGGTTGGAAGAACAAACATGGTGATGTTATATTTCTATCATGCAAATTATGCCTATAGTGAGGCAACGTGGATTCTTCCTTGACATAGACTCTGCCAGCGAGTATCATAAAGCTGTACCCGCACCTGTCTAAACAAGTTAGAGTGCATAAGATCAAGGATAGCTTTTGTTTGTTTGTTGTTTAACGCCACACTCAGCAATATTCCAGCTATATGACGGCGGTCTGTAAATAATCGAGTCTGGACCAGACAATCCAGTGATTTACATCATGAGCATCGATCCACGCAAATGGGATACGATGACATGCATCAACAAAGTCAGGAGCCTGACCACCCGATCCCGTTAGTGGCATCTTTCGACAAGCATAGTCGCCTTTTATAGCAAGGATGGTTGCTGAAGACCTATTTTACCCTGGGTCTTCACGGGTAGGTGCTATCTGCGGGATGACTCCAGTCCAAGCTACAGACTCCCACGTCAACAGTTAATGAGCATCCTTAAAGATTTATATCACATCATCCAAATTAACTAAACGTACTGTTCAGGACTAAAACAAGACAAGCCAATATGGATTCATTCCAGTACTGTTCGAGGTCATTTTATGGAACGTTCCTATAAGGTGAGGACTAATGCTGTAATGTCATTCTTACGTGATATCTTCCGCGTACAGAACATTTTTACTTCCGGTGACGCTTGCTAGACTTCCGGCCTTACTTCCGTCGGCCATGGCCATTAACTTTGAATCTTCTGAAATGAAAATAGATCATGTTCATTGTGAAAGCAACATTTGACGAAGAAATATCGGAACATGGGATACAAGACAGACAGAGAGACGGATATTTTATTAAAGTCTCACCTCAACATCTGATACATACGACCGCCTCCGTGGTCTTGTGGTAGAGCGTCCGCCCGGAGAGCGGAAGGTCCGGGGTTCGATCCCCGGCCGCGTCATACCAAAAGACGTTAAAAGATGGTACTTGTTGTTACCCTGTCTGGCGCTCGGCATTAATGGGCTCAAACAAGGACTGGTCGGCTCGGAGTCAGTATACTGTGTCTGAGTGGGGTATTCATGTTAAACTGCGGCATGGTATCTCAGTGAGCTAGCACTATAAATCGGCATCAGTCCGGACTAGTACAAGCAGCCACAGACACACACGTGCATGCACGTCGCTATATAAGTGCAATAATCTTGGACGCGACGTTAAACCCAATTTCACCTCACCTCGGAAGTGTCCTTACCATCTCTCTTTATCTCTTACATGAGTACATTCTGATTTGAAAACTAGCGATCGTCAGAGTCATGCTATTGGAATCGGGCTCAAAGTGAAGCTTTTAATGTGAATGGGTCCTGGGTATCTATCATAGTATGATGGAGGTATGATATCCTGGACATGTGATAAAGCAAAAATGCATCCCAAAAACCTTAGACAATTGTTACAAATTAAATTAAATGATATAAATGCAGAATGGTTTGACCGTTTCTTTTTTTTTAGTAACTTTAAAAAGTGGAATAATGCACAGAAACTTTCCCACTGTTTTAAAAAGATCTTTGACAATCGGTCAGGAATGAAATTAGCCTTTTTGACGAGGTGGAGATATTGTTCAAGGACAAATACGTTCACTTGACTGACGTGGGCCCTTTTAGAAACTGTTATGGGAAACCATAGATACTTATTTGGAAGACTTGACCTCGACGGCTAGCCTTTAATATTTAAGTTGAGCGAGTATGGTTTTACACCGCTTTTAGCAATATTCCAGCAGGTGGACACCAGAAATGGGCTTCACACATTGAATCGAACCTGGGTCTACGGCGTGACGAGCGAACGCTTTAACCACTAGGCTACTCGACCGCTCCTGGTGACTTTGTGACTCATACTTTACATGTTCATGGCTTCATATAATAACCATGACAACATATATTTATTCAAATTATATTATTTCTGAATGTGTTCTTCAGGCACCAGGACTTTTTTTAAACTGTGTCATAATTATTCCAAATATGAATCGAGCCCGGGTCTTCGGTTGACGAGCAAACGCTCTACACACTAGGCTACACGACCGGCCCTTTTTATGTAAGACGAACATGGACGTAATTGACGCATTTGTACGGAGACTACATCGTTGTTATCATCACAGAGAACTTAAAGTTTCAGTACATGCGAATAGTTTAAACGGTTGGTCAACCCACTTCCAGTGGTTGCTTGGGACAATCCAAATACTTGGACTCAACTTGACAAATTGGATATGGAGACGGGCATGACAAGCCATGCGTCACAAAATTAACCCCAGTGACATATAATGCTACCACTGATTCACAAAATGATGTTTTCATAGAAAAACGAAGTCAAGCGCATAAACTAGTTCACGGAGAGACATACTTCAAGGTTAACAATGTTCACTGTACAGTAGGCTACATTATTACCCGATTCGGAAGTCGTTAAAAAGAAAGCGTAAGCATTAGAATTCTCAATATATTTTCATACACATTCAAATATTGTTCAGACTAATTGTTTCATTTCGGAGTTGTTTCAGTTACAGCACTGCAGATTTCATATTGGGGACTGATCAACCTCATACTAATTTTTGAATGTTTTATTTCAGGGTTCTATGGTGCAATATGCATGGAGCAAGGCGCATGTGGACAACAGAAATACCGTCATGTGACGTAAAATACAATGATGAGAATTCAAATACAGTCATCAGATTTGAATATTTCATGGTCATGTTGTCCACTTACACATATAGGGTCGACTTTGAACTTTCGGGGGTGGGGGGTGGGGGGGTGGGGGGGTGGGGGGGGGGCGAATAAGATTATTCATTTTTTATTCAAGTTTACTTTCACAAGGAAAAATGATACAGTCGGTTATTGCTGTAGAGTTATCAGAGAATGCACTCAGACAGTTCCAAGGATTCATAATACATGGAAACCTTTCTTTCGAAACATGGATGATACATAATATCAGGCCAAGAACAGGCAGACCCAGGGTGACCACGCCCCATGATGACCGGTACTTGCGTACCTTGCACCTCCGAAATCGCTTCCTGACAGTGACGTCATCGGCGACAAATGCCATAGGTCACAAGGTTAGTCGACCGACAGTGGCCAGGAGACTCAGGGCTCATGGAATCAGGGCTTTTGGACCATACAGAGGACAGCTATTGACAGCGCAACATCGTCGTCTACGATTGAGATGGGCCCGTACTGTACGACGTTGGCAACGACGTGACTGGCAGAGGGTTGTCTTCACTGACGAAAGTCGATTCTGTATGATTAGGGCTGATGGAAGACAACGTGTTTACCGCCGAAGGCGGCATGTTGCTTGCAGGAGGTCGTACCATATGGTGGCGGGAGTGTCATGGTGTGGGGAGGGATCTGTGGGCAGGAGAGGACACCGCTGGTCATCGTTGACGGAAACTTGACAGCTCAGCGTTACATGGATAACATTCTTCGTCCAGTTGTCCTACCATTTCTCCAACAGCAGCCACGTGGTGTCATGTATCAGCATGACAACGCTAGAGCCCATACAGCCAGAATTGTCACTAACTTCCTCGCAGCCAACAACGTCAACGTCCTGCCGTGGCCTGCACGCTCACCCGACATGTCCCCCATAGAACACCTCTGGGACTTGATGGATCGTCGTGTTCGACAACGACCACACTCTCCAGCCAACCGGCAAGAACTGATCTTGGCCCTCCAAGAAGAATGGCGTCAAATCCCACGTGACCTCATCAGCCGACTGACTTTTTCTGTGCGTCGAAGAGTTTTTGCGTGTATTGAGGCATTAAGTGGTCACACACGCTACTAATGACTTGTTATTGAACATGAGCGATTGTTTATGTACTCTGCCTATTGTCCATGATTCTGAAAGCTCGAGTTTTGTACCACATTCAACTTTGGGGAGCTCTGACGTCATTCTCGGTCGTGGTATGATTGTCATTTTCAGTGTTGCTTATGTTGATATATTGATCTTCTCAATACACTTTACTTCATGCATGTATGGTTTGTTGTTTTTGAGCAAGAGTGATTTCAAACTCTGGTAAAGTTTCTTTTGGACGTCAGTTTACTTCCCGTGCTTTCTTAGTGAAGTTCGTCAGATGTCGTCATCTATGGCTAAAACAACTGACGTATTTCATCTGCTCTTTCTGGTATTGACACGAATCATACAGCCATTAAACAAGTCGCTGGACGGATAAAAGATGGAGAGAGAAGTATTTTTGTTGATTTACGCCTTATTTCACAACAGAGTGTGAAAGCAAAGGTTATTTTGCATAATTTAGACTTATTCATGTCAACCTGAAATGAGTCCTTACAGTCGATTTACTCCGTAATTCTGCTCATATGCATCAGAAAGGAATGCCATCACTGTCCACATAGTCTGAGCTGAAAGTGTCACATGTTTACATGCATTAATGCTCAGCCTTCCTCGTATTTTCCTACTCAATTGTTCATAGTGGTTTAACATATACAAATTGCAGATTGATGGCCGGACCCTTTTCTGCACCTCATCCGCTGTGGTCTGGTCCACACCAAATCAATCATCTCGCTACATGCTTGCTGTCCAACAAGCTCTGGTGCTAAGACATCACACCAGCTACGAGGGCCTATTCTCTGTCCTTAACATCTCCCAAGATGTCACCCCCAGCTACTAGCTGTGAATGCATCAGCTTACAGTGTCAGACAATGACCATTGAACACTCTTGCAGTTGTAGGAACATTTCATCCGTCACTTCGATGGCCAAGCCAAGGACTGAGCAGTGTGATGGGACAAGGCCGTGTGTTCTGACATTGACTTTTGTTGTGGCCTCGCAGACAGTGGACAGCCTTGGGTATACCTTACCAATCAGGACACGATCTTCTGTTTTTTTAGACCAGAGAGCAGCCAGTATATTCGAAGGGCCAGATACATCTGAAATATTTTTTTCGGAACGGTGGTGCCATATTTTGGCCATAAGCAGTGACATTTGATATTTTGTAATAATTGATTGCTTGTGTGTTGTAATTGATTAATATATCCTGATGTGTATGCTTTGAGGTTATACGAAGTTACATAGGATCATTTCTCTTCTTCTTTGGTATGTTGCTCAACATATAACCCCCTGTTTTTTTCTGGCTATTTACAGACCAGAGGGGCGCACGGGTGACCCAGTCGTCTAAGGCGCCGCGATTCGCTGTGCACAGTTGCGTCCCTTGGGCACGCCAGAAACCTATGATTGTGGGTTCGAATCCCGGTTCGCCCCGATTATGTTTCTAGGTTTGGTCAGCACCATACCCGTGCTCGTGGGTTTCACCGAAGTGGTAACGTCTGAGACCTGCATCACTTCGGCTTTCCTCCCACATTAAGCTGACATGCCGTGATATAACTGGAATACTGTTAAAAGCGGCGTAAACCAACTCACACACTTTTGGTATGTTAGTATATTTTGAAGGTGATCATATTCGCTGTTTTTCCGGATATTACTAAATATTTGAAATTGATGACAAAGAAAGGTCAGACTCGATCACTTTAAAAGATACCTTTGACACAAGCAGAGTAGTGCGGGCTTGCAGTTGACCTGGACACATCGCCATCACTCGTTTACCCATTCGGGCCTACCATGTCTGGTTTAGAAGTTGTATTTTGAGGGGGGATGGATTGAAGCTCAGTACATTGTTGTGTTAATGGGCCAGTACATGAATACTGACTAGGGCAGTTGGGAGTAACTGTAATCCTTGACCAGGTGAGTTGTATCGTCATGGCTAACATTGA